TCTCATCAAGACGATTCGTAGGTGGCTTATAGTGTAGCTCTACCCCGATCAGCAACGACAAGAATAGTCGCACTGGTATTAGTTTGCAATTGCTGAGCTGTGCTGGACGTCGTCATACGATTCGTTTCCGTTACTATTTATGTGACTCTATAGAAAACTGGAAGAACTTCCGTTCTTTTCATTCGTAAGTGAAGATCATTGGCGATCGTCTGCAATGAAATTTACGAGATGGACTGAAATTTATAATAGGAACAAGATGCTTCATTTAAATGAAGCTCTTGCACGTTTCTGTTGGCTTTCTTAGTGCATCATACTAGTTGTTCCTTCTAGAAGTTTTATTCAATCGGTTTAGCAGTACATTTTAGCTTAGGCGCTATTATCTGCTCTTGGTGAGCCAAGTATATCTTTGGAGCTAGAAGACGGTGGATGCTCATGAAATGCGATATGCGAAGGAAGCAAAATTCGTTATCCTAGGCGGATTTGCTCTGCGACAAGGAGTCGACTTTTTTGTCCGAAAGTCCTACACAGGCTGCGGCATAACTCTCTGCACTATCGTGGCTGCTTTCCCGTTAAAAGCAGCAAAAATTAACTCTTTCGTGGCTAACTACTCGCAGCGTGGGTTGTTATCCTATTGAATTCAGTGGTGATTTAATTATTAGTATGCAGTCTCGACGCGGCAAACTGTCTTCTTGGATCGTCGTTCTGTTCTCTAGTTCACAAAGTAACAAGAGCGTAGACATGTCCATGGAATTGATCGAGTAGCTTCGAGGAGCCAATTTGAAAGACCGTATGCGCAAAAGAGTGATCTCATTGATGTGAAAGAGTTGATGGGCCTTAACTAAAGGTGAAAATTTTCTTACTGGCTCTAAAGTGAAAAGAGACCACTGGACGGCTCCAGCATAAGAGGAGAAACGAAAACTTTGTAAGTGCTTTGGCGGGTCACTCTATGATCAGCAGAACTATCAGACTCTGAATCCCCTCTCGTATTCATGAAAAACAATGCAAAGTGCTAGAGGTTTATATTTGATTACTTGTATTCGTTCCTTATCTGCAAATGAGACAAATTTATGGAATATTATTATGTTAGTAAATTTGTTGTGATTCAGTTTTTTATGAAATATCGTCAAATTCAAAAGGCCATTGCACTTTTGCTAATCGTTATCGGCGCTTTAGTGAAGCATTTGAGTTGGTGCTTCGCTGTTCTCTAACTAGTAAAACGCTATGTCTATGCCTATATATATGCATATATATACATGTATATATATATGGTTAAGCCCCGCCCCAAATGCTCTCTGGCACTCAACAACGAACGCTCTGTGGAACGGCGCAGCCAGGCTGTCCTCGAGATTGCAAGGAGACGTGCTCAACCAGCTTTCTACAACGTTCAAGAAGAAGGTGAAGAAAGGAATTGATTGCTAGAAATAATGGGATCGGCACAGCGAAAAAAAAAACACTCTGAATAGGATCAAATAAAGTTCTAAAAAACATGTAATACTATACATGAAATGTATATGTACATTCACGCTTTATTGAACCGTCTCCACAGTGTGCTTTTTACTGAGCGAATCTCAGTGCTTCTAGCATTCAAATCGTTTATTCATCTTTTTCTTGAACGTCATAGAATACTGGTTGAGCACGTCTTCTTGCAATCTCGAGGATAGCTTGGGTGTAGCATTCTATGCGGGGTTGTTGTAGACCACCGGAGAGAACCGAGGGGTGCAGCTCCGCCCACCCGCGTCGCGACGAGCATCACAGCCATTCGGCTATGGCGCCACCCATATATATACGCATATACATATATATATATATATATATGTGCATACATTATGTATGTATATGTGTATATATGCATATATATTGATATGTTTAAAACTGCAGGTGTTTTGTGAAAGTGTGCTATAAGTAATGAAGAGGTAATAGTAGTCACTGAATACATAGTTACAATAATGGTTGTCATCTTGGAGTTGACAATAATTGCATTGTAGTATTAGTTGTGAAAAACCATTGTGGTAACAGTAATTAATGCTATCATAAGTAGTAAAGAATGGGAGCGGAGATGAGATTAGATTGATTCCCATTCAGAACATCGAAGGTGGTTGGATGGAAGGAAGTAATTCACGTGGTCATGTCGGTTTGTTTCCCGAATCATACGTTGTTCCATACTATGGTGCACCACCTGGTATACCACCGGTGAGTACTTTCTGACATTTTTTTTTGCCATTTGAATCGAAAAGCAACTGTTTCAATGCTTGCACAAGTGAAGTGTTTGCCTGCGAGAATTTTGCATTCGATGGAACATCTGTGTTCCTCTTTTCTTATACTTTGTTTTTTTCCTTGTCGAATGTAATTTTGATGGAAATGGGGTTCAGCAGTAGGCTATCGTTAGAGCATTCGTTTCTTTTAGCTGATATCATCTGATATATCGTTTTCTTCTATCTCGTTTGAAATTAAATGCCATGGTCGTTGATAAAGTTTCTGCCATGTGTTGGGGATAAATTATGTTGAGTTCTCGTAGAATCTGTGATCTATCGCATCCGCACAGAATACCAGCAATGGTTCTAAACTGCTGCTATAACATTTGACCCTGTGTTTTCACTGTTACGGCTTTGGTATCATTTTTCTTGTCTTAGACCATCTTAATTTTCGCTATTTATTAATCTGATGCGAAAAGGATGGTGTTTTTCTAAGAAATTTGAAGCAAGTTACCTCTGTCTAACCTCATCTTTATTAATCGAAGTAAGAGAGGCTGAAATTTTTTACATATTTTCATCAGTAACTCAGATTTTGATAGCAATTCAATGGTTAATGTGTTAGGGATTTATCTTGGAACAGTTGTGGAGTTGCTTCAAAAAGTGATCTATGATTCGTAAGAGTTTCGATTAGGAGATTGTCAAGGCAAGTTTTCGCAGCGGAACTCATTCAACTTTAGCACCATTTGTTGTGCTACGTGTTGTTGAGTGTTGTTCGTATGAAAAGATTTAACTCACATTGTTGGCCAATGCAAGCATATATAATGCCGTCTTCGAGGAAAGCCAACGGCCTCATGACATAACTTTTTTGCTGTGGTCGTATTCCCAAATTTGAAGGCGCTTCATTAGGTCATTCCGGCTGCCAAAAAGGAGAAAATTCACCATAACCAATTTTTGATGCAAACTTAGCTTCAGAACATGCTTACGACTTCTGTTTCATTCCACTTTTCCTACTTACTATCGCCATTTTCTCTACAGGATTAATCTCCAACACACGTCACAGAACTGTTGATAATTTTTGTTCTTTACAGTATAGGAGAAATCTCGAATGAGTTTTCGTAACGATAATCTTATTAGCACTACCTATTCTTCAATCCATACAGCTCTCAGTTTGTATCATTTCTCCCTTTCATATATCGCCTTTGAGAATGCTTTTAATTGTCTTCTCGAGGTTTGCCATATTATATTTCAATAGTGGCTCACGCGTTACGGCAATATAACTGTTTTCACAGCCATCAGCACTCTATCATACTGATACAGCGACGAAGAATAATACGCTCTCGCCAGTGAAAAATGCCTGGCAGTGTATCTACACTCCATGCATTGCGACTGGTACGCATGATACATGATACCTTCTTCTATCGATTGTTTTCGAAAACTGAGAAAGAAGGTACTTTTCACTTTCTCAACCCTTAGAGTTGTCGATTGATTGTTGAATGTAATATTTGGAAAGCTGTTCTTTGAATCATCAAACAGTCTTCCAAAGGGGCAGCTTTAACTACTAATTCAAATAGTGTTTTGATACTTGTCCATTATGAGGCGACAAATGAATATTCGACCACAGTCATTGGACACGAACTTTTCATAACAGTGTTAGTAATCATTTGAAAGCTCAAATCTCTGGCTGGCGCGGTACGTGGTCCGTTTCTAGAAGACCTTTTCTGATGTTGTTACAGAGGGAAATTTTTTGTGTTTCACACAGGCAATTTTTCTCGCACGACAGCTCTTATTTCAAACTATTAGCAATCATTCGATAGCGTAGAATTCAGGAATTCTAACACTGTGCTTATTTTATGGAAAGAACGTTTCTCTGCAGTGTAGCAGCGAAAATAATGTTGAGTTGCACACATTCGGCTTGCTTGTTTACACGCTGATCTACGGTCGTGTGGTCTGGTGGTCGCAGACTCGATGCAGCGACCGGCCACAATCGTTCGACTGAGCTTATGTGAAGAGCAATTTTGCATTCGATTAGGAATTTTCCTCCGCCTTGGACGAATTTTTAGATCGAACGTATGACTTTGATACTAAACGACTTTCTCTACAGGTTCTTATGCTTTTCGTGCGTTTAGCGAGGTACTACTTGATTTGCGCGCCCGATGTCAAACATATTTTTATTCTGTAATTATTATTTGAGCCAACATGTCATGTGGTATGTTGTGGGCTCTTGTACAGCCCGTTACACATATTTCGGCCTTGCACCCTCGTCAGTCGGACATGCCCTTCGTCTTTAGCCAATCCTCTCAGGATCCCTACATCCTCCTATAAAGAGCAGGCGACAACGAACGACTCACATAGTTGCCGTCAAATGAAATAAATCAGTAGATCGGCAGTGTTTAACACTCAGTTGCTCTTGACTGGTATTTTTGAAATATTACGCCGTTTGTTTGGAGTGTTTTATTAAGACCACGCTCAAAATTAAATATATTCGAACCCAGATATCACTCCTTCTGGTAGCGTATGCTAACCGTTGCACCACAGACGCTTGTTTTGCACAGCACTTTTTGAGCTATAGCGCGTTATCTGTCAACAGCCAACCGTCGACGGTCTGGCGGGCAGTCGCTATTGGCATTGAACCCACTTATGTTGACAGATATTGGGTATCGATAACCAATCACAGTTTTTTCTATTTGTCCGCCACTTACGGTGGTATGATATTACAATATACCCGATTATGTGGAGCGTCGTGCAAAAACATTTGCATCAACCGGGTTTCGAACCCAGATCTCACTCTTTCCATGCTGTGCAAAAGGAGCGTCGGTAGTGCAACGATTGGCATACGCTCCTGGAAAGAGTGAGATTTGGGTTTGAATCCCGGCCGACGCAAATGTTTTTGCATAGCACTCCACATTACTGGGTATATTGTAACATTATACCACCGCAAGTGGCGGTCAAATCAAAAGAATTTTGACTGATTATTTCGTAATTATTATTTTGGCCAACATGGAATGTGGTCTGTTAGGGCTCTTGTACGTGGTTTTAAAGAAAACACTCGAGATAAATGGTATATTATTTCAAAAATACCAGCCAAGAGCGCTGCCGATCTAGTGATTTATTTCACTTGACGGCAAATGTGCAAATCGCGACTCCTACTCTTAAGTAGGCGAAATAGAGCACTCCGAGAGTATTGGATAAAGACGAAGGACCTGTGTTACTGGCGAAGCTGTAAGGTCGAAACACATGTATCGGGCTGTACAAAAGCCCATTAACAGACCACATGACATATTGGCTCAAATAATAATTATGAGATAGGTGCAATTTTGAGTGTGGTTTTAAGAAGATACTCGAAACAAACGTTATAATTTTATTTTGATTTTTATAGCGTTAAAAAGGTCTTTTGAAAAAATCGGCCACGTATCGCGCTAGACAGAGATTTTAGCTCTAGAATTATTACTGATACTACGAAAAGTTCTTATTGCAGCAGATTGGGTTGATATTCGTTTGACCCCTCATTATGGACAAGAACCGATGTTTTCAATTGATAAGGGTGAGCATTTACCCTTTTCTTCGTCATCAAGTCCCATAGCTCCGAACCATTTGTATATTGTGCGTTCAAACACATTCCTGAACGTATGCTTTGGTGATATCTTGAGTTGCATTTAGAGGACTGAAACTTATGAAGTAACTCATTGCAGTTTTCACCATTTAGGAATATCATTTCAGTTGTCCAAAAAATGTAAACCAAGTTGCTGAAGAAGTATTATAGGACAGATTGCTAAGCAAGAAGCAGGCTTTTGAAGTGGCATACCTCAACAATCAGCGGGATTGACATTTTTCAGCATAAGACTATAGACTTTAAACGATCATAATCATGCCGGTAAAACGCTATAAACGTCCCCTATGCATGAAAACCTGTAAGAAACGAGAATGTAATTTTTGCTTTATTGCTTTGTTGTTGTTGGCCTAGATGAACTTGGGCTCCAATACTTCTTCCATCAATCACAGTATCTTGCCAGCATATCCACAGGTGACTTTAGCTGCAACTTGAGACTGTGGTATCTTTTCCTCCAGCACTTCAAGCCGTCAAGACGAAGCCTTTTTCGCCTTTTCATCAGATTCAGTGACTATTCGATGACCCAAATTCCGCTCATTTCAGTATTTTATTTTATTTTAAAAAGACCTTGTTGGTGCGCTGTAACAACGAGGGTAAGATATTATTCCACTCTCAGCGCGCATTTTTTGCCCGGCTAGAGTTCATGAATGACTTTTCAACAAAATTCGAGTATCCATTCGAGAACTTGAACAGCAGTGGTTGTGAAAATGGCTTTCTGATTTGAAGACGTTTCCATGGAGTCAAAGGAAATACAACGTTTCGCACAAAGATATACGCACCAAAAGCACGTGAACGTGTGGAGAAAATTGTGTTTACCGAATTGTCGAAATAATCTAAAAATTTTCTTGAAACGAAAAAAATTTTTTGATAAACAGCAAAAATCGCGCGTCTCTCGAATCGCTCTGCTCGCAGCGTTTACGCGTGAGAGCCCTTTTTTTGTTAATTTTTAAAATTTGTTCCTCATGTTCAAAAATCACTAGGTTTCTTGTATTAGAATCGTAGAAAAGATTTTGTCCTATCATTCTACGTGTACTAGCTTCTATTCTCTTATTAAATATCGCTATGAAGTTGTGAAAAAGCCCCTATGAAGTTCAGTGGGTGAGTTAATTATTTTCAGTTTGAATTGTAATCTTCTTTTTGCTCTTGCAGTGCTCCTTGGAGACCTTTCCAAGAGCCAATTGTCTAGCGAACAATCATACAAAATCTCTAGCCGAACAAACAGATTGGGTATGCTTTCTGAAACCAAGCACAGAATTCAAAATCATCACAATTTGTGCTTTAGAATGGCTACTGAAAGTTTATGGGAAAAACTGTGACCACAGAAGTATCGTAGAAATTCGTGTATCTCAAAGGCGCATGCCGTTCAGAGCGGATTAAGTGTTAATCGGACCTAGGTTTTCATATAAACCAAATACTGCCTTACTTCTACGTTCCCATGTCGTCACCACAGTTTTTGGGCGGCATTGTGGATTGGAGAGAAGTTAGCTGATTCGAAGCATGGATTCTTTCCCTATGGCGGAGAATCTTGCGTTTAGTCAACCGGTTGCTTGAGGACGATCTATCGAACCGAATTTATTTCCTCGCATTCATCGTTTCAAAGTTGAGGGGCAACAGTCAAATAAAATATGCGAATGAGATCCTCTATGAGCCAAAGTGGTGGTATTTTCTAAAGAAGATGATTTAGCGGTTCTAGATATTCATGTTTTTCTCCTTGTTGAAGCTCAGCGACTAATAGAATGACAGGGGTTGCCAGTGATAGGGAATTTTTTGCGTAGTAATAATTGTCGTTCCCACCAATCACCAATGAGCTTTCTCCAATTGCAGCGACAAAATGCAGTGTTTGTGCTGTTCGGTCAGCGAGCATGTTTCCATCTTTTCTTTCTTCGTTTTCTTATAGCTTCATCTTGATGCGTAGGATCTTAAAGCTCTGCAGGACCATAGTTGACTTCTTATTGTGCCTTTGAGCAACATTGTTGACGATTCATGATGGCGGTTGAAATTGTTTCTCATGTAGTTTATATATCTTATTACTGTGAATAGTCCTTTGTTATCATCTATCACCCATTTGATCGTCGTGAGGCACGTGAAGAGCAGTACCACTGATACTAAGACTCCTTGTTTCCAGTGTTATCGATAATATGGTATTCGGCCTTATTGGGCTCTACTGTAGCATAGTTCATTCTTAGCTGGAGCTTACCGTCCGCAAGCGTCGGACTGTTCCTCAGCCTGTAACCTTTCTAGGGTGATAGCCCTCTTGTCTTCGTAGTTCAATACCCAGTGACTTTCTTCAGCCACAGCAAATGGTTAACCATTGGCTACGAAGCAAATAGGTGTTTTTTCCAACCTTTCTAACCATGAGATATATACATTCTTGTAAAACTATCGACAGAAATAATAAGGCTTTTTTACATGTTATAGTCAGAGTAGTTCGTCATAAGCCGACGTGTTGAGACATCAAATCGCTGGAATCTTTCCCTTTCGCTCTGTTTCCTTAATTTTATGCTTTTTTGTGGAAGCCAATATATCTCTGTCCGTCTTTCGTTCGTCGAAGATGTGCCTTTGGGAAATCATTAAGAAATATCTTCTAAAAAATGTTAGAATGAAGGAGGATTTTTTAGAAAGATTTATAAATTGCGCATAGAGTATTGGCACCATGACGGATGGTTTCCAAAAACTATGCTCTGTAATGAAAGATAACAAAAGGGCATTTGAATAATTGATCTTTATTATTCAAGTCGTTAGAGAAATTTCTAATTTATTACAAGCAGAAATAAGAAGAACAGCGTTTATTAGAAGGTATTCGGCAGACGTATTTCTGATGAGAAGCTATCGCATTTATCCATCAAAAAGTTTGGTTTTTTCCGCTGATTAGAAGTTTTGAGGAGTAGAATATCTATGCCTGTATCATCTCAGGCGAGAATCACTATATTTGGTTGATAGCTGCGAAAATCATTCACATTATTCCGAGTCAAATTTTTCGAAGGGACAAAAAATATCAAGCGTATGTTGTTTTGCTGTTTCTTAGTAGATCCTTCCTGCCACATTCTAGATTTCATTGATTCTGTAAAATTCGGCAGTATTCGTTCTATGATTTCTTGGATCATTAAACTGACACGAGGTAGAAGGAGTTTTATTTGGCTAGCGCTTCAATTTCTTCGTCTTCTTCAGAACAGACTGAATGCGACAGTATTTATTGACGATAAAAAGGCAATGGTCTTGGATGGATGATTGATTGAGATCTTTCCTGAATGAACCGAATGAAATTCTTCATTTGAGCCATGCCTACGCTAGATTCTAATTGAAAAAGACGCTAACAACGAAACGTTAGTTGAATAGAACTTTTTGCCAACTTTGTGTTACCTTAATGATGAAAAAAATATTGATTATCCATGCCTGGTTTAATAAAAATTGGTTTTAGAAATACTAGTTTGAATTTTCGATCACCAACGCCTTCATAAGTTCTATTTACATAGGTGAAGGAACAAAACCATTGTTGACAGCAGCTGCTGCCTCGAAGTGCGATACTGCATTGGGCATGAACTTAGTTATCGAACGCTGTATCCAAATTGCAGTAAACCATATTTGCTCGCATACTAAATCGACAGGACTAACGACGTTTCGTTTCCAAGTGAATACTGTTAGGAGATAGAAAACATTTGAAAAAACTGGTAGGAACATGAAAACTAAAATCAAGACAACCAAAATCCGCTTTGGTAGCTCTTTAGAGAAACGGTAGTTTGTAGAAATTATCCTTTCATGGCTGCTGACGTTACATTTATATTTTCTGGTACTGATATTAGTCACGCAAATCTAAAAGTACTCACAAACTCAACTCTGAAAGTTTTGTCGTTATTCCTTGCAAAAAAAAAACTTTGGCATCATGTGCTGGCTCCGATTTGAGTCTCCGGGGACCTCGGATTCATTTCGACTGAGACATTACGTACGTTCTATTGCAAGCGTGAAGCCTCGTCGAACCACGAACTGCCTTCAGCCTGTTTGTTGCTCGATAGGAAATATAATTTTTATTTAAACGGCGAAAGTTTTCCTTCTTGGGAACTTATAGATGACAAGTCGATCGGAGGAGAAACAAGTCACAGTGTTCTCGTACTAAATCGGTGTTCTTCCCTTCATATCGCCTGGGAAAATGTTCCAATAGAAAATCACTCATGACCGAAAGAAATTCCGTTGAAATTGCAGCGTACAGCGCTATTCGCGAGTGGCGCTTCAATTAGGGTTTTTTCTCCCTTTGATAAATTCTTGTGATTCCTCGTAT